TAAACCCGAAACCCTGTACCCTAAACCCCGAGGCCTCCAAGGGTTCCCCGCGATCTTCGGTGGAGTTGGCTTTGAGCCACGGCCAGGAAGTCCTGTGGGCGGGTTTAGGGTTTAGGGTTTAGGGTTTAGGGTTTAAGGTCGGAGCCCTTTCCAGGCCCTTGGCCTCACGTAGGGGCCTTCATAATTACTTGTCATTAGGAGGACAGCATGAGCTTGTAATTAGAATGGCGTTTAGGGTTCAGGGTTTAGGGCTTAGGGTGGGCTTGTAAATAGAATAGGCTTTTCGGGGCTCCTTATTAGAATTAAAAAATTATCTACCCCCCCAAGCCCTAGTCTAATTATTCAGGCCCCTACATTACAGGGTTTAGGGTTGGGGGTTCCGGCTTTGGGTTTGATTGGTCTTGCAACCCTAAACCCTAAACCCTGGGTCTGATGGGGATCTTGCATGTTCTACCGGGTTCTCGAGGATAGCATTGCTTTGTATAGGTCCAGGGCTGGGTATACGAGACCTTATACTTAAATGAAGGATATCCTCTCGTCTGCAAGAATAATCTAGGAGCCATAGAGAAAGGGAAGCTTACTACTAATAATTCAACCCCCGATATTATTCGAGCCAGCTTCATTGGAGCAAAGAAAGTTCTGCATTGTGCCCAATGAAAAGAAAATTGTAGTTGGGACAGGGTTGGGCGGGTCATGGGTACAGAATGCGGGCGGTTGCAATTTTAGGCCTTTCGGGGGATCCTGAACTATGAGAAGCTTTCATTTAGGGTTCAGGGGCTTCTGGGTTTAGAGCCTTTGGAAGTTTCGGAGCTTCGGGGTTTAGGGTTTTCTAGACTGTCAAACTGCACATTCAGAATGTTCTTTCTGAGGACTTTAGGAGGGACCCTTAATAGGGACCCTTAATCCCATTACCTCAAATAACCATTGTAAAGTCCTTATATACCCCTTATATAGCCAGGTAGTCTCCATATTAACCCCAATAACCTACAAGGGTCCCTATTAAGGGCCCTTAGATTCTGGTATCATGGAGACCTTGACACCTTGAACCTCGAAATGCCCAAATTCTCAAGCCACGCGTCCTGCCCTAAGGCTGTAAATAAACGCAACTATGAACCCAACATGGGTGTCTAAGCCCAAACCTGTCCTGAAACCACGTGCCAGGACCAGACGTCTGGAGTGCGTCGTGAACCTCGAGAAAGGCCGTGCCAGAATATTTACATTTAGTGAAGTTGAGCTCGATGGTGGTCCCCTAAACCCTAAACGCCCTAAACGCCCTAAACCCTAAGGCTAAACCGGAAACTCTAAACCCTAACATATTGTGGTTCAACTGTTTAAAATCCTTTCCAGGATTCCCATCTCTCCTGCTCGGGCCTTTCTAGTCAAGGATTTCCTAAGCAAACCCCGAACCAGAGGCTGCACATAGAGTACCATTATGGAAGTGGGTTCATTAGGGTTTTACGGACTTAATTCCATAATGGTACTATATATGGAGCCCTAAACCCTAAACCCTAAACCCTAAAGCGTAAACACTAACTCTGGGTAAACTGGCTAACTCTGAGGGAATCGTCCCACCTGAAGGCTCTCCTTTGCGAGAGCTTGATCCGGCTGCCGTAGATGACCTGGAGGGGCGTACGTCATCCCAGGAAATGAAGGCATATATATATATATATATATATATATGTTTTTCTTATTTTTTTTTATATATATATATAGGAATCATACGATTTAGGGCTCTATGTGTTGAAAATTAGGGAGCTCCTTCATCTTCGAGAATTCCCACCTTCTGATCCGCAAAGATGGCGCGAGAGACGCGTAGACGAAGGAGACAGTGTTCTTCTCCGTTGGCGGTGGCCGCGACCAGCGCAAGCACCCTCTCTTGACGCGTCGGCTGATCTTGAGCAGCAAAAGCGTTGTCGTGCTGGTCAATAGGCTCCGGCTTGGGAATGGCCAGTCCGCTGCATGATAGCCGTGTGCGATGCCGCCAAAGGAGGTGTTCAAGCTGTACGGCTACCAGTGTCTCCCGGCCGGACCGCTGGATCGTCGACCGGTCCGGATCGTCGACAAGTGTGCGGACATGCTGAACGATGTCTCCCCCGTCCCCGCCAAGAAGGTTCGGATTTGCTTCGGCATTCTCAAGAAGGGTCTTCTGAATGCGGCAGCCGAGCTTCCAGAATTCGTCCTCCGCATGCTTTCAGTTTCGTGTCTGTCTGAGCTGCATCATGCTTCATGACCAGCTTTCTGAAGGCTCCATCGTGCGCTTTCATGAAACCTCCTAACTCCAACCCAAAACCCCAAACCCTAAACCCCTAAACCCTAAACCAAAAACTCCAAGCCTTACGCGCCAGGAAACTCCGGTCGGCAGGTCTCTAGAGCCTCTCTAGAGCTTAGGGGGCTTAGGAGCCTCAAACTTACGGCCACTCTTCGGAATAGATGACCCAATCTTTAGAATCTTGGGGCTGTATTTTTCAAGGCCCCAAGCTTGCGATGATAAGGCACTTCGGGATTAGGAACTGTAGCTTCGTAAATAGGAGTATATGACCATGTGCATTCAGACCCCTTGGGAGTACGCAGTGCTCATCACAGGTCCTTCAACTGCTCCTGTGAATCGAGGCTTCTCATCATCCTGCGAAGCTCGCGTGCCAGCTCCTGAAGATAACCAGCGGCTAGGATTAAGGGACCAACCTGTTTCTTGTTTTTCCCCGGTCAATGGTTCAGAATTCGTCTTTTAGGGTTTAGGGTGTAGGGTTTAGGTTTTGAGCTCAGGGTTTGGGGGGCTCCTCCAGCGAGATTGCAGTTGCCGCGCAGTCCTCGCCAAACTCTGATGGAAGTGTTTCTGCTTGAGAGGTTTGTCATCAGACCCTACCTGCCTAGGCTGCAAACTCGCTATCAAGTGTGTCCCCACAACCGTACAACCGACATCCCAGGCCCTGCGCCGTATGTTAAAGAGATAATGCTCTAACTGGAGCTATTGGAAACATGTGAAACTACGGTTCTAGCAGGCGGGATGCATATCCCAGAGGCTCCACATAGAGCACCAGTATGGAATTAGGTCCCAAAAGACCATCCTTATTGAGGTTTTAGGGACCTAATTTCATAATGGTACTATATATGGAGCCTCTGGGTATGGCTTCGATCAACCAATTTGGGGGGCTTCCGGAAATAGGGGACCCTAACATAGTACCCTAAATAGTAGGATCCTGATTATAAGGACCCCCAAAATAAGGTACCCTAATTTTCGGACACTCCCA